TCCATAAGAAAAACACGGTAAAACAAAAGATTTATAAATTACATCTAATGCTTGTCGATTTAACACAATCGACACTATGCTATTCACAATATTCACAATGTGAATAGCATTGCTTCACACTTCGATATATTAAGTGATAATTTCCAATGTTGAGACCATTTTTCAATAATGACTAGGTCATTATTTAAATCAGAAGCCATTTGTTGAAGATCAGTTCCTTTCCTATACAGCGAGGCATCATCAACAAATAATTTCATGTCACAAACAAGGTTATCACATAGATCATCAATATAGATTAAGAATAGTAAGAAGAATAGTAGTAGTAAGAAATGTTTTTGTATTATATATGGGAAGCGCAAAGTTTAGAAGCCAAATGAATACCATTTTGATAGAAAACGGGGATTGGATAAGAATCGAAACAAAGTAGTTATGATCGCTAGGCTAAGAATTCGAAAAAAATGAAAAAGATCAGAGATGTGTGCCGCCAGCGAAGGCGGAGAAAGATTGTTGTGACTTCCGCCGTCGCCGCGATACCGTTATACTTTTGTCGTCGCCGAGGGCGAAGAAAAATTTTTTAAATCAGATACTTTTGTTCGTTGTTTTTGAGATACTGCCTAGTGGTCGTTCTAATCTCAATTGAAAGAGAATTGACTTCTCTACAAAACCTGCTATTTGAACCTCTGATAGCATTTTTTTTTATTTGAATACCATTCAAAATATTAAAAGGTTTTCATGTGGAAACAAATGATGTTTTACAGTGATGGAACGCACCAAAAGTTGTTTATCAAAATTAGCAAAAACTATAATTAAGGATACCATCGACGTTCGATCCATCAGAAGAAGTTTTCTCTACAACGAGACTTATACTGACGGCTAAACGTATACGATTGAGTAGTGACAAAGTGGAAAAGATGCAGTTTATCCATGATAACTATGGTTTATTCAAAAGTGCTCATTAGACAGTGCTAGCTGCTTTTTCATATTTTGTTTTGTCGAACTTGTTATTCGTTTTTTTCTTCTAAGTGATAATCGAGCAGTGAATAGAATATTCTATGTATTTCATATTGAAACGTGAAAAGAATACGTTGTTTCTTTGTTAGTTTGCACCACAGAGTGTGCCATTTTCTTTGGTTTTGTCAAGAACTCAAAATTTTTTTCTTCAACTTTTGAAAAACTGATTCTATTTGGTTGAAACAAATGAAAACAAAGTTCCCATTGATTGTTTTTTGAAAAACTGAAAAACACCTTTTTTTGAACACCTTGTCTTTTTCTTTCTGTTTTCATATGTTCATTGGACGTGTAGTTTACAGATAGATGATAGAACATTCATATTGCAAACGCGCATGTTTGCCTCCAGACAATTTTTCAATCGGTAATTGCACTAGAAAGCGAAAACAATTTTATTTTAAACTATCTTAATTCAGCTATTTGAATTCTGTCTAAACAGAAAAATGTTTAAAAATACTGAAGCAGATGCCGCACATCATTATCTTACTGATAAGCATATCATTAATTAATCAGCTTATTTGAAAAAGTAAGAAATTCATTCTTTAATTCGTTATGGTTGGTCAAACTCATCATTTCTTGCCTAGACTAATCTACAAGGACTAAGTTTACATAACAACATTGTAGCTTATCTGTACTTGAAATAGTGTTATAGACCGATGTGGATGCATTGTAGATATATACGACAATCTATGCTTTTTTTTAAGATTGAGAATTATTCCTTGCCTTTTCTTTTCTCTACGTCGTGGTAAAAAATGCAAGATTGATGGAGGTGACGAGATGTGTAAGACCGTTGAGAGTATGATATTTGAACTACGATACTATCATCGATACCACTGTCTAGACTAAGGACGGATCTTTCATTTTTCGAGGTTGAGCTGAGTTCGAGTGATTTTTTCAAACTAAAGGTTCGATGACTTTTTTCTCCGAAAGATTTGCCTAAAAAAAGTGTTTTTTGAAAAAAAATTCAAAATTACTTTCCCCAAAACGTACGTTTTTTTCTTCCTTGTTTCTTACTGATTCATAGCTGAATATCTTTGTTAGTGCTTTCAGGACTGACTCAAATAACCACATGATGCTGAGGGCTTAGAGACAGGGCCATAAATAAGAAGTCCACTTTGGAGGGGGGTGTAAGAAAAAAAGTTTTCCCTGTGCGACCAAAAATAACGAAAAAAAATTTTAATTTCCGCTGGGAGGAAAGAACAAATTTTTATTTTTGGGAGGAGTTCAACCCCCCCATCCACAATCTACGGCTCTGCTTAGCAAGTACGTTTGATAGTAAGAGTAATATCTTCCTATTCGAGATAATACTGGTCTTAAATATTTATAGTAATCAAAGTTATCTAATTCTTATACTGTCCTAAATTTTTCTCAAAGTTTAGAAATCTTTGTTATTTATATGAAGGTTTTTCGTCTAATAACCGATTCAAAACTGAAAAATCTGACCAGAATCATCTCGGAAATTTCGGAAACTGTCTTTTTCAGAAAACTCAGTTCTGATTCTGTAAACAGATTCAGGGCTGAATGAGCTCTCAGAGTTTTCTTCTCTGAATCAGAAGATACATTTTAATGAAGTCCGATTTAGCTCTGATAAAACTGACTCGAACTCGTCCAGCTCTGCCCGTTAGCATCGAATTCCTCAACAAGTTTCCTTAACTTGTATATTAGAAGAAATAAACAAATTTTGAATACTTTCGAAAATAATTAGTGTTTCATTAGTGGTGGATGATAGCAAATAAAAGAAATAAATGGCTTGTCAACGAAACACCAACTGCTATCGTATCGAACCATTGCTTCCTAATAGAATTTTTATGATGCTCGGGATAACATTGATATCATTTATCTTGTGTATATTTGTTATCACAAAGAAAGCAGAAATTTGACTGTTTAAATAACACAAATATCATTGATAGCAGCAATTCTTGGATTCTACTTGAGTTTGGTCGTATGTGGTTAGATTTCTGTGATAATCGAAATTTCTACAATGATATTAGTTTAGTTGAAGCGGTTTGTCGTTGCTTTCAAAGAGAGTAGGCGGCAGTGTTTTATCTAGGTTTTTCGAGTGGGCGGTACCGCCTACTAGTAGAAATTTCTGGAGGGATTGTTGGCTAAAAAAACCTTTGGTAAAACGAAATCTATTGTTTATTGTATATCGGCCAGGTGGGCGAATCAAAATTCGCCCACCCAGCCCATCCACTAGATACATCACTGAAAGTGGGTCCATTTCACTTTTTCATAACGCCAAAGTTATGTTATTACTTATGTCATCGATGCGTATCCAGATGCAATTACGGTTTTCATCGCTTTGTTCCATTGTTCGTTTTGTGTGGGTCAGATAATAATATAAACTTGACTAAGGAGCATTCTTTTCTTTCTTTATTTATATATAAGTTTTGTGGTATACAGTATATAGTAGAACTAGTTTGTAATAGCAACTCAACCTTAGAACCTGTTGCTGAAACACTACAATATTAAAGGCCATCCCAAGTTTCGATATCCCGAAATGTACGTTGTAGCACTTGGCTAACATATTAGTTTAATTTTAAGTGCATGTAAGTGATTACTAACAACTTTGTGCTCTAGCAAAATAGCCCTTCTGTTATTCCCTAACAGAAAAAGTAAAATAGTTAGTAATAGTCCAAAAGTCCAAGTCACTTCTTTTTCTGTGCTAACGCAAACGAGAAGAAAAACACATTTAAATCGAATGTATGGTGCACAAAAAGACAGACGACACTTTGGAGCACAAGAACATACGCTTTGCTTCTATTTTTATGCATGACAACGCGTTCAAAATATTTTTCCTTTTTATGTTTTGGATTGAAAAGTAATCAAGAGTGAAGCTCTGCAATTTCATCTATACTAGTATATTCGTTTATTTTTACTGTATATAAAAAATAGTCAATATGTTTTTTGTAGAGAATTTCACGGCTCATCTTTCTAAGTAGAAATCAGGACGAAAAAATGAAATAGAAAGGAAATATTAGTAAATACAAGGTGACGATTTCTTGTGCGCCATCCGTTAGTACCTATATGCTTCTGTTTATATTATGTGTCCTTGTAACTTTGTTTTGTTCTCTTATTAATCGATCGAAAATATTTTATGGTCGATCAGAGTTGTACAGTTACAGATAGGCTAATCCAGCCTAAAATACTGTATTAAAAGTGTGTGAAACATTTTGAGCACTATTGAATTTCTTTTTGGCAAACGCTTGTTATTATGTATTTTTCGTCAGATTAGACTATCTGTTACTCCGATGTTTCTTGAAGGACATAATGTACTTAAGTTAAGCATACGAACGGTATTGGACCTCAAACTAAGAGTGAGTTCGGCTGTTATCATAATTCACTTTGAGTTTTACCGATAAGCCAAATATGACAAAATTTTTAGTCTGATGAGTTTATAAATATGTAACTTATAAAATCATTTAAAACTTCAAAATTTTTTGACTATTTTTCCAGCGAAAAATCATTTATAAATCATGATGTTTATAAATTGTAAATCTTTGAAAAAGTCATTTTAAACTCATCAATGGTCTGAAACTGAAAAAGTATGTAAAACTTATCAGTAAGAATTATTTCGAAATCTTGAGAATATTAGTTACGAAGTTTATGCATCTACGAAAAAATCTCGATTGGGAAGCAAAGATATAAGTTTTCAAAAATATATATACATTTACTTTCGAAAAAAACATATTTTTTAAAATTTCTATCGAATATTTTTGTATCGTCTAAACTCCTGTAAGAGATTATATCTAATACTCAATTTGGTAGAAGTCGCTTAAAATGACATACTACATTTTTTGTATACATTTAGTACCGATCTTTGGTCGATAGTCAGTACCACGGATTGCTAGAGAAAAACAGCAGATTGTGTTTGACTACCAGACATTAGTTTCATGTTTTATTAATTTACATCCCTTTTTTTAGATTTTTCTTAATTTTATTTTATTTGTTTTTGACTTATCTTTTATTTTCAATTTATTTATTGTCTGTGTATGGCGCCTTATACATTTACATTATTTGCTCCTTATAACAAAGCAGCTGGATTGCGTTTAAAAAATGCAAATGCTCGAATGTTTGGTCTAGATATTCCAATGGAAAAAAATGAAGAGGTATGATGAAATTAACATTAATAAACCATCTGATCAATATGATGCATTTTATTATTAGGACGGATATTTTCGTGTCACAGTTGAACTTGCCGATGGTATTTATCATTATCAATTCAAAATTATAACAAAATCTTGGTTTGAAGTTGAACCTGAACCAGCAGTACCGTCTTATACAAATGATGAGACCATGAGTAAGTATTATCCGTATGAGTACCACAAAAACTACTCAAGAAAAATGTCTTAATTTTGATTATATAAAAATACAATAATAGAAAAGTAAAGTAAATAAAAGAAAGTAAATTTTCATTTTGTCGATTATTATTTGATGTTTTGTTTCGGTTATTATTTAACAAAAGTTAATTCAATCGCTAAATTTTAAATTCTTTAAATTTAATTGAAATGAGTTGAAACAAATCGAATTGTATTTGTATATACACAATGGACAGCCTTTCATATAACTTTTAAATATCAGAAGACTAAGTACATTTGTAAAAAGATTGTTGACTTAAGAAAATACATATTTTGATAACCTATTGATGTTCATTTATGAGTAATTTTTTTCTAATTTAATACTTGTCATACGTTTTTTCTCGAACAGATAGTAGGGATAATAGATTTAACACTACAGACTGACATAAAACTGTAAAAGGTCTCTATTTTTGAATAAAGCAATAGAACAACAATAAATCGAATTATATTTTCTTTTCTATTCTATAGCAATTGAAGAAAATGAAGAACGAAAAAAAAATCAAGATGAAGAATATATTAAAATGGTACAAGATATTCGTGATCGAAATAGAAAACGTGAAGAAGAAAGTAGTTTTACAGAACTTTGGTATTCATTTGTTGATCCATATGCTACTGATGTAAGTTACGTGTATAATATGTAAAATACACATACATTCATTCATATTCTAATTTTAGGTGGATGAAAGAGGAAGTGATGATGCCTACAAATCCGTTGGTGTATTGACATTCAAAAATGGTCAGTAGAGATACATATTTTGTTTCAAGAATAATCGCAGATTGGCTTATCCGCATGTAACGCGCTGACCAAAAGTTGTTGATCTACAGATCAAAGTTAGAGTAACACGATGACACCTCTTTTCATTACCTCCGATATTTCTCAAGTATATACTGCAAAAACAGTTATTTAAAGAATAAATGTAACTCATTCACACATGATGTTTATTACGTGTGAAAAATAACTTGAATCAACGTGTTACTAGTGTAAATTCACAGATGACTAAAAGTACCAATATAATCGAAGATCACTAATATTAAGACCTGTGACGTATAACTAAATTGATAGTTATAGGAAAGAATGCTTCTGTTTTATAAAGCTACGCTATAAGCCTTGACGATAACAAAAAATATCATTTTTAAAATAGCGTGAGCACTTTGTCAAATAACGTTATCGAATTTTTGGTCATGCATGGGTACCGTTAGCCGAACAAGCCAAGAAGTTCTTTTGTTAATATTTGATGTTATTAAGAAATTCGTACTTATAGGTAAACGTATATTGGATGAATATGAATGGAAATATGATAATGCAGTAAAATTAGTACCCGATGAACAATTGATTATCTATGAACTTCATATCGGCGATTTTCAATCTAAATTCACAGATGTAACAGCTAAAATTGATTATATTAAACAACTGGGTGTTAATTGTGTTGAAATAATGCCTGTGAAAGAATATGCTGGAACTCATTCATGGTACGGATATTTATCGAGAAATGGTTTGAAGTTTGATTCACTTTTTTCTTTCTTCAAGGGGTTACTCACCACGTTATTATTTCGCAATTGAGACAGGATATGGCACATCAGCTGATTTTAAAGAACTAATCGATGAATTGCATAAAAATGGCATACGTGTTATTATGGATGGTGTTTACAACCATGTAAGTTGTAATTTCACTATTCATTCAAACTACATAAATAACTATCTGTTGACTTCGGTTACAATAACTGGTTCAAATTCTTTTATTTATTCTTCAAGACCGCTTTAGTGTAAATTTTCTATCACTTTTTAGAGTGAATGTTCAAATCCAATGGCACAGATAGATCATGGTAAACCATTAATCTAGCATCTGATATATCGCCACATCAGCCTTTTCTGTCTCGAATCATCTCACAAATAAATAAAGCATCATTTGATTGTTTCAGATTACTGGTTTCATCATGAGCCAAAAGATTTGGAAATGAGTTGGGGTCCCGAGTGGAACTATAAATTCTATGATCCTAAATACAATGTTTGGCCAGCACGTAAATATATTGGTGAATCCATTTTGTACATGATCACAGAATTTCATATTGATGGTATATAAATCGATGAAGAAATCTGCACTGTATTATTGTGTTAAATTTCTTTTTGTTTATTTTTCTAATAGGCATTCGATTTGATGCTGCTAAACAAATTGAGAATTTCGAATTTCTAACCATAATGGTTGATCAGTGCAAAAGCCTAGTAAAAGATAAACCATTTTATTGTGTCGCCGAATATTTACCTGATGATGTTTGTGCGTGTATCATTCTATGGTGAGATAAACATTATTTTAAAATATTAATTTTTATTTTAGGTGTTATACGAGATTACAATGGACCTATGGATGGATGTTGGCACGATTCAATGTACTGGGTAAAAATTTAACTTGGTGTCTATAACTGCTACATATATTATAATCAATTTCTTTTTCGATATGTGTACAGATAATACGTGAAGCATTACTTAACGATAATGTTGAATGGGAAAAAGTAAAGGATGTTATCGATGGAAAACGTCAAGGATACAAGCGAATTGTGAATTTAGTGAATTATGTATCAAACCATGATCATGATCGATTATTGGTTGAATTAGGGAAAGAACATCAGCTGTTTGATGAAGAAGCATTTAGACGTGTGAGATTAGGAGGTACGCTGTTTAATCATTATGAGAGCAATTTTTCAGTAAAAAAGAAAGTTGATAGGCAACTACAATCAACGTTTTTCATTTCACAACTAACGATACTTAATAATTTGCGTTATATCTGTCTATTTTAGCGGCCATACAAATGACAGCTTTCGGCCTAGTCCTGATTTGGATGGTGAGTGAAACATGAATTGAGCGAGCAGAACTAGTCTCTGGTTATTCCTTTACCTTCAAACTGAGTTTTAAAGTAGAATTCAGTGTTGTTTTTGAAAAAAGAGATTACGATGTGAGAATTTGCGTTGTATGGTTTCATAATCATTCTCCAACGCGTAATCCTTCATTTCCAATAGAAAAGGTGACGATTCTATAATATAAAGTAACTGTTTATTTGATCTTGTGTTAGGGTGAAGAATTTGGTGAATATAAAGAAAAAACGCCTGGCATGGCTAAACTTGATTGGTCATTGATCGATGATCTTGAAGATAATTCAAATCAAATCAATAAAGATTTACTACAATATTATAAAGATTTGATTCATTTACGTAAAACAAATCCATCATTATATACCACAAATATTAATTTTATATATGAGAATGAGCAAGATGGAATTTTAGTGTATCATCGATGGAATGATATTGAAAAGAAGCAAGGTGATCATCTAATTGTTATTGTTAATTGGTCAAAAAATACTTTAACAGATTATGAAATTATAAATATGCCTATGAATGGAAAATATTACGATTGGATTAATAATCAAGAACATTTTGTCGAAAATAATCAGTTAAAGTTAGATGAAATTAAAGATCATGAAGCAAAAATATTAATTTGGGAATATGGAAAAGCAGATGCGAAACAAATTGATAACCAACAATAGTAAAAATAGCTTAACTTGACAGAGTACTCCATAATTATAGGATCCGCTTTGTTTTTGATTTTTCTCTTTCCGAATAATAGCTGGAACAAATGTGAATACTGATTTGAATAGTCCTGAAGATTTTTCTACCAGTTAAGGTGCATATCGAGATTTTATAAAAGAATTCGATAATAATGTTTCTGGAAAACCTGAAGCTTAGAAATCCAAATCTTTTGTTTTTAAGCAAAAAATTTTTGCAAACCATAAACTTTTGTAGAGCAAAGAGTTCTGAGCAGAATAAGATGTCTCCCAGCTGGCTACGATGTTTTTTCGCCAAGCTGCAGTTGATTTACGAAAGCTGGGAGACATCTTATTCTGCTCAGAACTCTTTGCTCTACAAAACTGTATAGTTTGCAAAATTTTTTGATTAAAAGCGAAAGATTTGGATTTATAGGCTTCAACTTTTTCAGAAACATTATTATCGAATTCTTTATAAAATCTCGATATGCACCTTAACTGATAGAAAAATCTTCAGGGCTATTCAAATCAGTATTCAGATTTATTCCAGCAGAAAGAGAAAAATCAAAAACAACGGGGCTCCTATAATTATGAAACACTCTGGAGATAGACAAACTTAGTGCGTGTGAACTGTCAGGTAGTCTTATGTTTTACATTCAACGTTTAAGATACGTATTATCGTAATGTACACGATGAAGATTCATACTCGCTAATGGCGATAGATCGAATTGCATGTGATTTGCGATTCTCAAAGCTGGTGATTCTTAGATTTTCATGTTATTTTCCTTGTGTTGTGCGCGGAAATGTTTTCTCTTTTTCTATATCTCGTCTATCTGATATTCATTGTTAATCTCTTTGTTTTCTCGATTCCTTTTC